CCCGATCTACTGAGCCGACCTGTCACAGTCTCATTGTCACAGGTCGGCTAGAACTATGAGGTGAGTGAAAATCACTCCACCCCCCCCACTCATAGTTCTCCTTTAAAGCAATAGTCCACTCACACCTACCAACTCCTCCTTACAAGAAAACTCCCATCAAACCAACCAGTAAACTTGTCCCTTAAAGCAATAGTCCGCTCACACCTACCAGCATACTTCTCCATTAAAGGAATAGTCCACCCAAACTAGTAGACACAACAGGAAGCGAGAGGAAATCTCTCCAAAGTGAGGGATATCCCTTCCGATGATAGTCACTGGAGCAGGTGTCCCCATTGGAAGACTTCCTCTCTGTTCCTGCTCTGGTAGAAACTCAACAACTTGGGATTTCTTCTCATTTTTAGCCCCAGAACGAATGGCCTCCTAGAAGAGCGGGTGGATCTCCCTGGCGGGGACACAGTGTAAGGATCTGGCAGGGGTTCTAACCCTTCCCTACCCGATGGGACAATATGTTATAAATTACAACACCCAGTAAAACCAAAATATTCCAACAAAGAGTCTTCGGCCTCATCCGCACTGGAATCGGCCGGCTTGTATAGCTCTGTGCTGCGTGCGCAGCCGCATCGGGCAGCTCCCGGGAAGGACAGGTGCCGAGTGCGATTAGTACGCAGCCCCCGTCCTTCTCCATGGGAGTACGCCGCTCTACACTCACCCCAAGTGCAGGTCCGTACGGGGGTCCCTACTCGTACGCTGACAGGATGGATCCTGTCTGCGTCCGAGCCGGTACACCCGCACTGACCTTCACTTAGGGGGTAGCGTGCGGCCGCGTAGCCCCATAGAGAAGGACGGGGGCTGCGTACTAAATCACACTCAGCACCTGTCCTTCCCGGGAGCTGCCCGATACGGCCGCGCACGCCGCACGGAGCTGTACCTGACGGCCGATTCCAGTGCGGATGAGGCCTAAGCCAGGGGTGGCCAAACTGTGGCCCTGCAGCTGTGGTGGAACTACACATCCCATGAGGCTTTGCAAGATTCTCACAGCCACAGCCACGACTCCCGAAGAGAGATACATCCTGGGATTTGTTGTTCCACCACAGCTGGAGGGCCGGAGTTTGGCCATCCCTGCGCCTAGATGGCCACACAGCCCCAAAGGCCAAAGCCCGAGGAGCTCAGGAGGTCCATCGGCTGTTGAGATTTGGGGGAGCTGCGCATCTTCTTCAGAGTAACCCGGCAGCACCTGATATTAGTGTCTACAGAAATGATAGACCTCGTCTGATGGTAAACATTGTATGGAGTAATATTTCATGTGCCGTGTATCGTCCTCTCACTTGCCCCTCAGCGCTCCCAATAAATGTCTGGCTGTGCAGGATAATAGGAACATTATACATTTCAACACTCTGTGTGTGTAGAAGACGTTTTCAATCACCCGCCACAACATTTATAGGCCTGTTACCGAAGCCGCGCACCTCGTCCGACATTTATAACTTTATTTATACAATCCCGGCTGAACACAATGCATGAGGAGGATCCGGAATGTACAGGTTTCATGGGACACGCCAGGCAAATATCAACATTTAAAGCGCAGCCGTTACCTGCTCCAAATTTTATTTGTGTGTATATCAGGGATCGGCCTAAACCCAATTATTAAAACCCGATACAATGTTATCTTTATTTCAACAGTTACCTTTTTAAAGGGCTCATTCACAGCACACAATGCATTCTGATCAGGGGAGCCATCAGAAATTTTGGGGCCCCTTACACGGCTTCAGGCCGGGCCCCCCCCACCGCACCACTGCGGAGGGACCCGCTGGACCCGGGGCTGGGCGACGCGCTGGACGATGCGCTGGACTCACCTGAGAGTGACCCTACAGAGCCAACCATAGATGCTGCACAGCCCATCTGAGACTGTCTATGGCAGGCTCTGAAGGGGTTCTAAGGTAGGCTGGTCAGGGCTGCATCCCTCCCCCTCCCTCCCAGCTCCTCTTACCTGCACACCAGGCCTCCTCTGCCGCCAGACTGGCCAGAAGTGACGTCACGAGCAGCGTCGCTGATGGGGCCCCAGCTTGTCTCGAAGCTGATGGAGCGGCAATGCTGGGGCCCTGCGCTGCTAGGGCCAGGCCTCCGCCTCCTCGTTCTTCACTGTCGGACGATACTCATGTAAGGGTCCCGGGTGGGCCCCCCTTGCTGCCCGGGCCCCTTACATGAGTATCGGCCGTCGCGATTCCATGAAGGCATCACAAAGCGTCCACACGCGACCAGCCAATCAGAATCACTCAGTTCTTCTCTGTTTCCAAAAGCGTCTGGTCAGTCCAGAAGAGACGTATGTGTGGTGTGTCCACTTCCAGCCTAGATCTGTCCTATTCTGCTCTCATCTAAGACACTTTTTATATAAATACATCAATCGACACTTAATTATATAATGAAATATATGTGTCGCCCGGGCACGGACCAGTCGCCCGGGCACGGACCAGTCGCCCGGGCACGGACCAATCGCCCGGGCACGGACCAATCGCCCGGGCACGGTTTATTAGAAAAGCCGGGATAATTTCCGGCTTTTCTAATAAACCAAAATCAACCCTCATACGTGTCACGCCAAAACGTTCTTCCTGTAGGTTATATTCTTGGGGAAAGGACTTCCAAGCATGGCTGCCGCGTCCTCGGTGAACAGGGATCGGCCTAACCTCTCCGCAGCCTCACCCATCAACAGCCTGGTCACCGAGGAGTTAAAAAAAACACGGCACACGACAGGATCCCGGCATTTTTATCCTCGCACTCCGGCGGACAATCGTATTGATCCCGAGTATTGACCGGAGAAATGTGCGTCTCTTCCCGAAGGCGTAGGGGTGTCCAATTTAGGGCCCGGCGGCGCCGCGCTAGCCATTGTGTGCAAATGAGGGGTGGGAGGGAGGCCGGGAGGCCAGAGAGGGCCCATGAATCAAAAACACACTTTGGCGACGATACATCTAACAAGGGCGCCTGGCAGAGCAAATTCATCACCGACCCCCAAAATTATAAGACGCACGCTGCGCCTATTCAAATGAACACCGATGAGGTGTAAACGAGGAATCGGACGCATGTTATGCGGGGACGGTTATTTTGTTGTCTTTCATCAGCGCGCAATACACAGCGCGCAACACACAGCGCACAACATACAGGAGGGGGCGGAGACAAGACCAGTCACCTTGCACAAGGACAGAGAGCAGCAGTGACCGGTCTTTATTACAAGAGGGGGCGGAGACAAAACCAGTCCCCCTGCACAAGGAGAGAGAGCAGCAGTGGCCGGTCTTTATTACAAGAGGGGGCGGAGACAAAACCAGTCCCCCTGCACAAGGAGAGAGAGCAGCAGTGGCCGGTCTTTATTACAAGAGGGGGCGGAGACAAAACCAGTCCCCCTGCACAAGGAGAGAGCAGCAGCAGGGAGCGGTCTTTAATACAGGAGGGGGCGGGAACAAGACCAGTCACCCCTCGCACAAGGAGAGAGCAGCAGCAGTGAGCGGTCTTTATTACGGGAAGGGGGCGGAGACAAGACCAGTCACCCTGCACAAGGAGAGAGAGCAGCAGCGAGTGGTCCTGGAGTTCAATATGATGGCACAGCTGATCTTTAAAGATCCGCATGCTGCCTTCTCTCTGGACTGGATGTCACCCGCATCACATGGGAGGTAGAATGGACACGAATGAGCCGAAGTGTCAGCATTGTATGACAGGCGTGTGCGCACATCCATGAGGATTGCACAACTGACTGCAGGTGACAGCCGTGTAACACGTGTGTGACAACAAGCACAGGGAACCCTCCTGAGACAAATATGTGAAGATCTCGACATCAGACGGGTCCCTCCGCCCTGACCCACCCTCAGCGAGATCACAACACAGAGCCCCCTTTAAATTTAAAGGGAACCCGTCAGGCTTCAATGATGGCAGCCATCACCGCCCGCTTTATATTTACCCTTTAGCTGCTGGAGCGGATTTTCACACGCGCTAAAAAGAGCATTTTTGTCCCGAAATGACTGACTGAAGAGGACGGAGGTCAGATAGAAGACTGAAGGGGAGGACGGAGGTCAGATAGAAGACTGAAGGGGAGGACGTCTGGTGCCATCTCTTCCCCAGGTAAGTGACACGCACCCATCCACATGATGTACATCAGACCCGGCCACCTTCCTCCCATAGTGATGTCACGGCTGATTGGTGTACACAGTCACATGATATGTATTTCTCAGTTGCTGTATTGAATCTTTATTTCTTGCCCTTGTATGTTCGCTGATCAGCACCAGTGGCGTCACAAGGGGAGTGCAGCCCGCACCCGGGTGCCACCATCGGGGGGGAGTGACACCAATTTGACTGACAGTCATTTTGGTGTCACCCCCTATGAAAAGTCGGGCACTAGTTCTCAGAACAAGAGCCCGACAGTGTCAGGAGACAGAAGCAAACCCGGCGGCGGCATACCTCGCGGGGTGAACGTCCCCTCCTCTCTCTGCCGGCGTCCATCACCAAGAAGGCTGCCGGCAGGGGTCAATAAGACGACCGCGCATGCGCGATAATGTCACGGCGGGGTGTCACCCATCCTCAGTGGACTGACTATTCACCATTATTATATGAGGTGTCATCATCCTCCATCACCGACATCAGTGGACTGACCCTTCATTATTACGGAGGTGTCACCGGCCTCCCTCACTGACATCAGTGGACTGACCCTTCATTATTACGGAGGTGTCACCGGCCTCCCTCACTGACATCAGTGGACTGACCCTTCATTATTACGGAGGTGTCACCGGCCTCCCTCACTGACATCAGTGGACTGCCCCTTCACCATTATTACAGAGGTGTCACCGGCCTCCCTCACTGACATCAGTGGACTGACCCTTCACCATTATTACAGAGGTGTCACCGGCCTCCATCACTGACATCAGTGGACTGACCCTTCACCATTATTACAGAGGTGTCACCGGCCTCCATCACGGACTTAATTGGTTAAAAATAAAATTGAATAAACATTTGTGAAGAATTACCTGACCCGACTTCTTCCGTTTCTCCCGTTTTCCAAAGATGCATGCCAGATCGGTGTCACTGCGACAGGACAGGTCCTTTCCTGCATGACAAAGACAAACAAGAAAAGTATGTGAAGATTTGGAAGACTCTCCGTTTTGCTTTTCGATTTAAGAACTCATAAACCCGAACCAGATTAGATGGCAGTCCAAACCAAACACTCGAGGGAACCTCTCACTGCACACCGCTCAGCCCACACCTTCAGTACACACACAACTGACAGCGAAGAGAGGGGAACACGGCCAAATATGAGGAGGCTTCTGATCTACCACTGGGAACAGGCCAACAATGGAGAGAGGGCTCCTCATTAAAGGTGTGTGACCTCATAGGCAGCTGTACAGCACAGTGACGTCTTCTTAGACCAGAATGTATTCACATATCTCATTCCAATACATATCCCAAAATAAAATTTTTTTTTCCCCTCGATATCTGGTGGGGTAATGATAGAGGAAGCACAGATCCACAGAATGAATGAAACAGAAGCAGGGATTTCCTTGCACTGCAGGTCCTCAGGTGCGGCTTCCTCTCCAGCAAGGAGAACAGTGAGCGGCACAGTACTGACATCACCAAATCTCACTCCAAATCTGGTGAGACCGGCAGTCAGAGGCAGCAGTGCCTTAGGTGGTATCACACTGCAGATATACAGCTATGAGGATACAAATTAGGAGGGCCTAGGCACAGGAAGTGCATTGATATCAGGGGGGCCTAGGCACAGGAAGTGCCCCAATATCAGGAGGGCCTAGGCACAGGAAATGCACGGATATCAGGAGGGCCTAGACACAGGCAATGCACGGATATCAGGAGGGCCTAGACACAGGCAATGCACGGATATCAGGAGGGCCTAGACACAGGCAATGCACGGATATCAGGAGGGCCTAGACACAGGCAATGCACGGATATCAGGAGGGCCTAGACACAGGCAATGCACGGATATCAGGAGGGCCTAGACACAGGCAATGCACGGATATCAGGAGGGCCTAGACACAGGCAATGCACGGATATCAGGAGGGCCTAGACACAGGCAATGCACGGATATCAGGAGGGCCTAGACACAGGCAATGCACGGATATCAGGAGGGCCTAGACACAGGCAATGCACGGATATCAGGAGGGCCTAGACACAGGCAATGCACGGATATCAGGAGGGCCTAGACACAGGCAATGCACGGATATCAGGAGGGCCTAGACACAGGCAATGCACGGATATCAGGAGGGCCTAGACACAGGCAATGCACGGATATCAGGAGGGCCTAGACACAGGCAATGCACGGATATCAGGAGGGCCTAGACACAGGCAATGCACGGATATCAGGAGGGCCTAGACACAGGCAATGCACGGATATCAGGAGGGCCTAGACACAGGCAATGCACGGATATCAGGAGGGCCTAGACACAGGCAATGCACGGATATCAGGAGGGCCTAGACACAGGCAATGCACGGATATCAGGAGGGCCTAGACACAGGCAATGCACGGATATCAGGAGGGCCTAGACACAGGCAATGCACGGATATCAGGAGGGCCTAGACACAGGCAATGCACGGATATCAGGAGGGCCTAGACACAGGCAATGCACGGATATCAGGAGGGCCTAGACACAGGCAATGCACGGATATCAGGAGGGCCTAGACACAGGCAATGCACGGATATCAGGAGGGCCTAGACACAGGCAATGCACGGATATCAGGAGGGCCTAGACACAGGCAATGCACGGATATCAGGAGGGCCTAGACACAGGCAATGCACGGATATCAGGAGGGCCTAGACACAGGCAATGCACGGATATCAGGAGGGCCTAGGCACAGGAAATGCGCGGATATCAGGAGGGCCTAGGCACAGGCAGTGCCCGGATATCAGGAGGGCCTAGGCACAGGCAGTGCCCGGATATCAGGAGGGCCTAGGCACAGGCAGTGCCCGGATATCAGGAGGGCCTAGGCACAGGCAGTGCCCTGGTATCAGGAGGGCCTAGGCACAGGCAGTGCCCTGGTATCAGGAGGGCCTAGGCACAGGCAGTGCGCTGGTATCAGGAGGGCCTAGGCCCAGGCAGTGTCCCGATATCTGGAGGGCCTAGGCACAGGCAGTGCCCCGATATCAGGAGGGCCTAGGCACAGGCAGTGCCCTGGTATCAGGAGGGCCTAGGCACAGGAAACCTATTTTGTTCCGGAGGATTTCAAGCCAAAATGCTGAATGTTGCAGAGTACTGCTTAGGGACAATTGTACATTCTGAATTCCCTTCGCTATAGGATAGACCAGTGCTGGGGAACCTTGGCACTCCAGCTGCGCCAAAACTACAAATCCCAACATGCATCTTCCTCAGGGAGTTATGTCTGTCAGAGCCTTGCAATGCCTCATGGGACTTGTAGTTCCAAAACAGCTGGAGTGCCGAGGTTCGCCACCACTGGGATAGACCAATCCTCACACGATCAGTCCACGTGCACTCTAATATTATTATTATTACATAGTATTTATAGAGCGCCAACAGTGTGCGCAGCGCTTTACAATGTAAGGAAGACATTACAATACAATTCAAGACAAGATGGTAAGGAGGGCCCCGCCCCTGAGGGCTTACATTCTAAAAGAGGAGGGGCCAGTGATACGTCAGGAGGTCGCTGTGTTGATGGGAGTACTCCCCTAGATACGATGATAATTCCGCACTAAACGGCTTAATTTCAAGTGATTTCAAACCTGTTCGGCAGACGAGGAAAGCGATTAAAAGAAAGAAACAAAAAACATAGTCTGAAGATTTTGCTGATAATAAAATAAATGCAATAAATACAATATATAAAACTCCGGCGGTAAAAGGTTTCAGGAGGAAATCCAAAGGAAACTCTGCTTTATAGACGTATTCTAACCTCAAGCATTGGCTGTTGGGTGCCACCACAGTGAACAGGCCCGGGGTAGCCAAACTCCGGCCCTCCCAGCTGTGGTGGAACTATAAGACCCCGTTCACATGTAGCGACATACCTTTTGCAGCGGCCGGGATAGCGCGACTTTCGGGGGCGACGATCCAGCGACGGTAGCGCGACCTTCTCCGTCGGGCTCCATAGAAAAAAAAAGCAAAATCGCGCAAAATCCGCCGAAAAAAGGGTCCGGAAGAAGCGACCTGCGACCGCGACATGGAGTTAAGACAGCTCCATTGAATATCATTGCGCGACAAGTCGCTATATGTGAACGGGGCCTGAGGTGGAACTATGAGGCTTTGCAAGATTCTCACAGCCACGACTCCCTGAGAGAGAGATGCATCATGGGATTTGTAGTTTCACCGCAGCTGGGAGGGCCGGAGTTTGGCTACCCCTGCTTTACACTGAGCCCAACTGAGAATGTTCACCTCACCTGCTGCTATCCACAAGGTGTTAGAACAGTGGATTGTAGATTGTAAGCTCTCAGGATCAGGGTCCTTCTTATCCTCTTGTATGGTATTGGTATTGTACTGTCTCCCCCATATATTGTAGAGCGCTGGTCCTCAACCCGTGTAACCTCAGCAGCCACATTTGTCCTCGGGTCATTAAAAGGAGAGCTATGAGGGGAGTGATTTCCACTCCTCATAGTTCGAGCCGACGTGTTACAATGAGACTGTCACAGGTCGGCTCAGTAGATCGGGAGGTGAGGGAACACATACCGGCGTTCGCTCACCTCTCGATCCTGTCACGGCTCTCTGCCGTGACAGGGGGAGGGGCTGGATTCCCCCCTCCCCAATCCGATCCGCCAGCGCTGACTGGCGGAACAGAAGGGGGAGGGGGCGGGTACAGCAGGCTCTGCCTCTAGATTGACAGCTGGGCGGATGCAGACAGTAATGTCGGGATCCGTCCCGGCTGCGGTGGTCTCAGTATACCGCGAGCTGTAGCTCCCTATATACTGAGCTTAGGGTGACGGGAGGACGCTAGTTTGTGTTCTCCCGTGACCCTGAGAACTGTGGGGAAAAACACTGACCCCCATAGTTCTCCTTTAAGTCGCAACCCAAGTCGCACCGCACTGGAATGCACGGCATTAGGGTACCGCACGTTATGGTGCGGGCATACAAACTGGGTGGGGGGTGCGTTTGGGGTACCATGCAAATGAATGGCAAGGCAACCCACATCCCACACCAGAATGCACGGTAGGTGGGATTGCTTGGTACAGTTTAACGCACTGTACTAGTGTGAACGGGCCCTCGAAAAAACTGGACATGCATACAGACACAATCTCACTCACACCAAAATGTTTTTATTTTTAGATTTAAGGTCCACACAGTCGCCCCATCTTAAGAGAACTGGAGTGGATCCTCAGCCTGGGGTCCGGTGTGGGCTGCTGTGCTGTGACGGAGCTCCATTCATATGTGCATTGCTTGTACAGCTCCCTTGCATCCCCCGTAGAGGTTCTGGGAGGCAGAATGTGACGTCACTCCGGTGCAGGCACCTCTACAGGACATGTGAGGGAGCTGTAAGCAATGCACATATGGATGGAGCTCCCTGGCAGCCATATCCCCACCTCAAGCTGCCACTTGGCACCGGGCAGCATATTTTGAATTGCCGCTTGTTGCGAGAACGGACAGCGCTGCGCTAGGGGGAGGCCGAGTAGCCCCTCACCTAGAAAAGTGGAAGGCATGCGGTGATCCACTGAACACGGGGTCACGACCCGCTTTTGGGTTACGACCCACAAGTTGAGAACCAAGGTGTTAAGAGTGTCTATGTCCATAGAGGTTATTGTTCTAAGCTGGCCACACATTGGTCGAATATCAGCCAAGCCCTGTCAGGACCCCCCCCCCCACCAACACTCATTCTACAAAAGACAC